CTTAATAGCACTTTACAGCATAAAATGATATTCTCACCCATGAAAAGATTATTTAATCCTCCCAGCAACCCTGGGAAGTAGGCATCACTGCATGTCCTCAACTTAAAGATAAACATAATTTTACATTTTAAGGTTGTTGACATTAGAAAGTATTTACTACAATTGATGCATAAGTCTCCTCTTCTTCCCAGGACCTTGAACATGTCTTTTAAAGCTGATGATGTGTCTTAAATCACTTAGAATCTTGGGAAAGTACATTAGTAATTAAAACTCCATAGTCCATTGGCATCAAAAGAGGGAAAACAGACTCTACTCTGAGTTACTTTGGATAATGTACTTCAGAATGATTTTTGCACATAAGTGTCCTAGAAACACTCAAGAGGCAGACTAATGTAACTTCTCCTCCAAAAAAAGCACAAATAAGTTAAATAATTTACTGCAGCTTACACAGCAAGTTAGAAGTAAGTCGCTCTGCATTGCCTTCTGAAGCCTTTGAATCTCAAGCATGAAGAAGAATGAAATTTAAGTCTTTATCAGCTAAAATTGGGTATTGTAATCTCAAGTATAAGAATCTCTAAAACAAATGTTTTAATTAAATGGTATTTTTTTCTTTTTAGTTTAGTTTTTGGAGCTTTTTATGGTTATTGGGGATTTTTAGTTTTGTTTTTTTTTTTTTTTGTTTTATTTTTTCACTGTTGATGAATTCAGGGAATTTGTAGAAATATATAGCCCAGGGGCCAAATGATCTGAAGTAGTTTGCAAGTAACACAAAGAAAGTGATTCCAACCAAAGTATTTGCATGGTGCACCAAAGCTTCTCTGTCACAGAGTTAATGGGGAACACATCATCGGCAACACAAAGCACTCTCTCCAGGACATACAATTGGTCTCTTTTCTGGAAAACTAATTCTATTTACTAATTATAACATCTAGCTACTTCTCCTTTCCATCATCGTTGATTAGTGCTTAATAACTTGTGTTTGGGGCAGCACCTGTGGCTCAAAGGAGTAGGGTGCTGGCCCCATATGCC